AAATAAAAACTGTAGGTAATGAATCATTTTTATGATATCGATATTTCTTTTAAAAGACTTCCACCTGTTCACGGTTATCATGCTGAACAACTTGTTTCACTTGAAAAAGCACTAGAACCTATCCAGCCTCAAATTGATGAACTACCTTATTATATAAAGATAGCTAAATGCAATTGTCATTTTCGATCAGAACATGGACTAACACATGATCAATCAGCTGCTGTTTATAGGTATACAATGGAATAGGGTGACACTAGTTTATATTGTGTATTAAATAAAGCACTACGATCTGAAAATCGACAAGTAGCAAAGATATGGTTTCCATATTTAAAATTATTTGATACAGCATTGGATAAGTTACTTATTGTTAAAGAAGTAGTATGGAGAGGTGTACCTCTTGATATGAACCAAAATTTCACTAAAAAGGGTGTGGGTGGGTGTGGGTGTGGGTATTGGTGTCTATTCTTCATTTAACTAACATCCACACCCACACCCTTCATAGATCAATTTGAGTAATCCTTTGTAAAAGCATCATTTTTTTGTAATGATACATAGGATGGGATATTTGAGAAAAATTTTGAAGTCGACCTCTTCCATTCGAATAATCTTTCAATCAGCGTTTGTTGATAATGATTCAGCAATCTGTAAGATTATTTTACTATAGGTTTCTATCAATTTGTTATCGTAATGTGGAAAATCGAAAAGTATATCATATTCAAATATTTGTTCGCTTTATTCATAAAAAAAATAAGAACCTATGAAAAATGTACGTTATTTGATTTCAGAGAAGTTTTCTAATCAAACAAAAAATTCTTCTCTTGTATTAATAACAGGAAGTTTAAAAAAATATTTTCCAAAGAAACTGTTCTATCATCTCTAAACAATTATTTGCATTAGCAATCAACAGAACAAGAACGAATTATTAGCTTACAAAGCATCTTGTTTATCTTTGATTCGATACGAATTGAGAATTTTGAGTATTAAATAATAATTCAAATCAATAAAGTTTAAAAAAAAACAAATAAACGGATGTATTACTTTTTGCTACTGTTCTATAAATGCAAGAATCAAAAAAAAAATTCTTTATTATGTCCTTTGGATATGTAGGGGTGACGCTTTTACTTTCTTCCCAAAAAGAAAGGAAAGTAAAAACTTTCTTTTTTGTTTTTCATGTTGTAAAAGAGGGAACTGAATTTCTTATACTGTTCTATAAGGAGAAAAGTAAAAAGCAAATCAAAGAAAGCAAAAAGAAATTAAAAACTGAGACTGCACAGCTCACACTCATGAGCATGAACATTTTTCCTCTCTCCAATAGGGAGAGAAGTTATAGTTACTCACCAATTATGTTATCAAGTAATTAGCAATGGAAACTTCGCGATTTTATCAAAAGGAAAGGCAATTTTCTAAAAATAATGATTTTTTATAAAGTTTTACCAAAAGTAATCGGAGTCAAGGAATCCGAATCTGCAATCGGTTTCTCAAAATTTTGAGTTTGAGTTTTTTTTTACTAAAAAAAAGCTTTTTTCGTAACAAATCATTTTTTTCACAAAATTTTTTTTGGGAAAAAAAATCAAACTCAAATTACTTGATAGCGTAATTGGTGAGTAAGTGCTACTTCTTTCCATATTCGAGACAGAAAGCGCTCATGCTTATATGAGTGCTCATGAGTGTGAGCTGTGCAACTTTAGTTTTCAGTTTCTTTTTGCTTTCTTTCACTTTCTTTTTACTTTCCGTTTAGAAAATAAAAGTGCTACCCCTATCTAGATGGAAAAAAACCAAACAACGTCTTTGAGTGTCATTCATTCATTTCACTGTATTATAAATAACGATGGATGATGATCTCGCCTTCTGTTTACAATGTTTCGTCAAAGAACAAAGAATAGCGCTTGAATCAACACGAATCGAGCAGGAAAATGTGTATCATGCAGCTGTACATGAAAATAAAAATGCAGA